ATAGAACATTCCACCCACCAAGACAGGAATACCTCTTTTTTTTTTGAGATGAAGTCTCGCTCTGTCAACAGGCTGGAGTGCAGTGGCGCAATCTTGGCTCACTGCAACCTCCACCTCATGGGTTCAAGCGATTCTCCTGCCTCAGCCTCCCAAGTAGCTGGGACCACAGGCATGCACCACCACTCCCAAATTTTTGTATTTTCAGTAGAGACGGGATTTCACCATGTTGGCCAGGATGGTCTCAATTCCTGATCTCGTGATGCGCCCATCTCGGCCTCCCAAAGTGCTGGGATTACAGGTGTGAGCCACAGCACCCACCCCACACTTGGTGGTTCTACATTTCAACATGTCTTACCACATTCTATTTAGTAAGCTTGCATTGTCATAACATTTTCTCTTAAAATTTTTAGTTAGTAACTAAAATATCTGGAATTTTAATATACAGTCCTTTTTGAAACTTTAAGCTGAGAAAGCTTTATACCATCAAAGAAACATTTACTTTGAAAATCAAAACAAGGCAAAACTACAAGCTACAATACTAGAGATCCTGGAGGACAAATTTCAAAAGAATAAATGATGGTAGGATACAGTTGAAACCACATCTGAAAGTTAAGTAGAGTCAGGAGAATCTTGTCTGAATGTATAGAAATGGGTCTATCATTTCAGATCAGGATGGGATCTGTTGAATGAGTGGGTCAAGGTGATGCAATACAGGTTTTACTTTATTGTGTAGCATGAAATAAAAGGAATGGAAAATGTGAATGTGGTTCAAAGTGGAGACCCAGCTATATCTTGATTGCATTATGTCAGATCCAGGAATACTTTCTCGTTGGAAGGATAACTTAAATTGATGGTATAAAATATCAGACATTAGACTTGTAGTGAATTTTCTAAATTGAGGAGACATGTTTCTTTTCAGAAAGCGAGGAGTTACTAAAAAGCAAGATGTTAGCTTTTGAAGAAATGCGGAAGAGACTAGAAGAACAGCACGCTCAGCAGTTATCACTACTCATAGCTGAGCAGGAAAGGGAACAGGAAAGATTGCAAAAGGTGAGGAATGTCCGGGGAGATACAGCTGGTAAGTGAAATTAAGCCAAGGAATACCTATGAATTTTAGTCATGTATAGAATGCTTGTAATTTTTTCCTCCATATATTATAAGGTAAGGGAGTCATTTTGATACGTGAATGGTAGTTTTTGTCAAAAGATGAAGTTTGCTATTTAGATCCTTATCTAAAAGTAATTGCATAATTTATCAAGAGGATATTTTATTGAATCCTTGATTCAAAACTTAATATTTTTAAAAGACATTTTATAAATAGGTGCTAAAGCACACATTCTGCAAGAGTTACCAGAATGACACTTGTGCTAGGCGTAGTGGTGTGAGCCTGTAGTTGAGCCACTCAGGAGGCTGAGGTGGGAGAATCGCTTGAGCTCAGGAGTAAGCTATGATTTCGCCTTTGTGTGGCCACTGCACTCCAGCCTGGGCAACAGAGTGAAACCCTGTCTCTATTAAAAAAAAAAAAGAATGACACTTGTTATAAGATTATTGTAGTTAATAATTTAACTATACATTATCACATTTTAAAGTAAATTATAGGCTGGGCAAGGTGGCTCACACCTGTAATCCCAGCACTTTGGGAGGCCAAGGCAGGTGGATCACCTGAGGTCAGGAGTTTGAGACCAGCCTGGCCAACATATAGTGAAACCCCATCTCTACTACAAAATACAAAATGGTGGTGCACACCTGTAGTTGCAGCTACTTGGGAAACTGAGGCAGGAGAATCGCTTCAACCCGGGAGGCAGAAGTTGCAGTAAGCCGAGATCTTGCCATTGCACTGCAGCCTGGGGGACAGAGTGAGACTCTGTCTCTCAAAAATAATAAATAAATAAATAAGTAAAGTATAATTGAAGAAGAACTTGAAATAATAATTTGCTGATAATTACATGTACTTTATGCCAAGCCTAAAATGGTATCATTTTGGGCTATAATTAAAAGGTTTAGCATTTTATAATAAACTGTTAATCTATAGGAAATAGAAGAGCAGGAGAAAATGTTAAAAGAGAAGAAGGCAATGACAGCGGAAGCCTCCGAATTGGACATTAACAATGCAGTGGAGCTAGAATGGAGAAAAATAAGTGACTCCAGTCTGCTGGAAACAATGCTGTCTCAAGCGGACTCACTCCATACTTCAAATAGTTCTGGTAAATATTTTAAAATCCTTTTACATTTGAGAAAATGATGCTACAGTAAGATATGTATTTGGCACACCATAAGATTGTATCTCCTGTTTTCAAATAATTCCATGTCCAACCCACTACTGTTTGTCAGCTGCTTAGTAACCAGTGTAAAATGACATGATAGGAGTTCAAAGACTTGTGAGCAGATGTTTGTGAGCAAAGATTACTTTTGCTAGGAAAATATCAGGAAATTTGGCTCAGAGCCCAGTCTGTGATCATTCATGCAGCAGGTGACATACTTCAAGTGAAAACAGTTTGCTCTCTCCTGAATCATCTTGAATTACCTCTAATTCCCTAGTCCGTTTAAAGAGCTTATCTTCATATCTCAATTATCCTGAGATGCTGTTTGTGTTGAAAAGATCCATCTGGTACATAAGTTTTAAAGTCCATAAATATTTTAAGTTGGCAGATGGGTCAGTTTGGGAGGCAGTTCTTTTTTTAATGAGTGTCACAAGTGTTTATCAGGATTTTCTTCGTATTCCAATTATATGACATCAGGTATAATAAACTTTATGCATGTTTCTCTAGGTTTCACAAATTCTGCCCTGCAATATAGCTTTGGTTCTGCAAACGAAACACCATTCTACCTCTGGGGATCATCAGCTGGTGGCTTAACCAAGCTCTCAGTAACAAGGCCTTTTGGAAGAGCCAAAACTAGATGGTCTCAAGTGGGTAAACTTAATTATATATGTCCACATATCTACTTATCTTTTTTAAATAGCTATACATCTTAGACTGTATAAATGAATGCCAGTAAACATTGTGTCTGTCTTCTTTCTCCTAGGTTTTTAGTCCGGAAGTACAAGCAAAAGTTAGCAAAATAACTGCAGTGGCAAAAGGATTTCTTACTCGTAGACTTATGCAGACAGATAAGCTGAAGCAACTTCGACAAACTGTAAAAGTAAGATTCCTGTCAATTGTTTGTATTTCACTTCTGTCTTAGTTTCTGTCAGTCTTGTGACAGCTTAGCTGACAGATTTGTTCAGAACCTAAACATTTTTTAGTCACTGTAATATAGGCAGTTTTAGAAATTTGATTGTTAATCTTCCTCAGATAATATTATGAAAAACATGCAAATGAAGTAGTTTGTGTGTTTTTGTCTTGCTTCAAAGTAAGTGCTGTTTGACTTCTAATAATTTTATTTATATGCTTAGTACAGTTGGCTCTCTGTCTCTTGGTTCCACATCAGTGAATTCAACCAACCACGGATCAAAAATAATTCAGAAAAAACAAACAAATGATGGTTGTGTCTGTACTGAACATGTACAGCTTTTTTTTTTCTTGTCTTTATTTCCTAAACAATATAACAACTATTTACATAGCATGTACATTTATTAGGTATTTTAACTAATATAGAGATGATTTAAGGTATATGGGAGATGTGTTTAGATTATATGCAAATACTAAACCATTTTCTATAAGGGACTTGAACATCCTTGGGTTTTGGTATCTGAGCGATTCCTGGAACCAGTGTCCCACAGATACTGAGGAAAGACTATAATTTTGGATTGACTGAGAAAAAGAAAACAGGAAACTCCAGTGATGACAAATCTTTCTAGAAAAATGTTCTTGAAGGAGCATTTCTTTTTTCAGGATACTATGGAATTCATAAGAAGTTTTCAGTCAGAGGCACCATTAAAGAGAGGTGTTGTTTCAGCTCAGGATGCTTCACTTCAGGAAAGAGTGTTAGCTCAGGTAAATACCTGGATCCGGAGGGCTTTTAAGACGTGGACATGTCATATTTCTCCTTTTTTACTTAATCACTGAAAATAGGTTTCAATGAAAACTATTTTAACCTTTTTCTATAAATAAGGGTACATGGTATATAGTATTCCTCAACTCTAACCTCATCTTGTAAATGTAAACAATATTTTCTTCTCTTGTGCCTAGTTGCGAGCTGCCCTGTATGGTATTCATGACATATTCTTTGTAATGGATGCAGCTGAAAGAATGTCTATTCTACATCATGATCGAGAAGTTCGCAAAGAAAAAATGCTCAGGCAAATGGTATGTTATATGATTTCTAATGAATAGAGTTCTTCTGGGTTTAAGGTAATTGATACTGTCATTTTTGGTTGACTTCAGCACCCTTATGATAATTCTTAATCACAAGTAATTCCTAGGATTACTAGCAACATTTAAATCTGTAGACAGATTTAAAAGAATTACATAATTTAAGAATTACATATTGTTTTCTGATTGGGTTTTAGAGTTGAAACTTTGAATGTTTTGTTGAGATGGCTTTATACAATCTATCAGTTGCTCCTGATTGAATTTCCTTGGATTCAATTATAATGTGGATTTTGCTTTTTTGAAATCTGTTAGAAAACAGGCTCCAAATTAATTTGAAGTATATCGGAGTCTGTGATTTTAATCAGTTATCTTAGTGTGACTGGCAAAGGAAAAGCAAGCAAAATTTACATAATTTTAATTATTTAATTCTGAGACTGCTTTAAAAGTACGAAACAAGATGATTTAACTAAATTTAAAATGTTAGTAGAGAGAAGCTTTTCCAGGCAATTTGGGATCATTCTGTATTATAATATAGTGGTATTATTGGTACCAGTAGAGTTTGATATTACTTTTGTATATTAAAGGATAAAATGAAAAGTCCACGAGTGGCACTTTCAGCTGCAACACAGAAGTCTCTTGATAGGAAGAAATACATGAAGTAAGTTTTTCGTATCATGTCATGTTAGTTATCAACTCAATTAATTTTAGTTATCTGTTGGTCTGTTTGCATCTTTAAATTTAGAAATGAAGAAGAGTTTTTCTGCAGTTGAGCTGATAGAAATTCCCTTTATATAAAGAAATTCATTAAAATCAGGTGCTAAAATCTCATTTCATCTTTAGATGAATTTATTTACTAAATTTGTCAGCATTCAACTTATATAATTGATAGCTGATCAATCTTAAACACAGTTAATCTTTATATTCAGTGCCTAAATGTATTCCTTTTCTGATATCCTAAACATTTCTTGGGAATAAAAACTTAAGGGGAAAAATGTCTTAATAACTTTTTAAAAAATTGTTTTTTCTTGAATGCAGTCTTTAATATGCTTAGTATGGGTACACCAGCTTCTAAATGATGATTTGTTTCTGTCATCCTATATTACATTTGTAAGCGTGTTTTCTTCCCTTCACTAAATACATTATGTCCTTATTTTTATATTGTGTTAGAGCTGCTGAAATGGGAATGCCAAATAAGAAATTTCTGGTTAAACAAAATCCTTCTGAAACAAGGTGAGAAAAATCACTTAGTCTCAATGAGAGGCTTTTTGTTTTTTATAGAAAAAAAAAAAATTGGGCGGGCATGGTGGCTCACACCTGTAATCCCAGCACTTTGGGAGGCTGAGGTGGGCGGATCACCTGAGGTCGGGAATTCGAGACGAGCCTCACCAACATGGAAAACCCCATCTCTACTAAAAATGCAAAATTAGCTGGGCATGGTGGCGCATGCCTGTAATCCCAGCTACTTGTGAGGCAGACGCAGGGGAATCGCTTAAACCCGGAAGGTGGAGGTGGCAATGAGCCAAGATCATGCTATTGCACTCCAGCCTGGGTAACAAGAGTGAAACTCCATCTCAAAATTTAAAAAAAAAAATTTTTTTTAAATTCCAAACTTCATTTTCATTGACTTTGTTCTACTTGACATCAGTAGAACACTTCTTGCTGAATTGGGTGGGGGGGTGGTCCACAGGCTCAAGACTCAGATGAATACCTGGCTGTATACCTGGTCCCATGTCAGACCAGATGTGCCTGGAGCTTTTGTAGGGCATGCTATCTGTGGTAGAAATTTGAGCCTGATATGTCTTGAGTTCAGTTACACAGTCCAGAGGATCTTTGATACTTATTTAAAAACCTTAGAAAGCTAACTTAAGCTGGGCCAGGTGCAGTGGTTCACACCTGTAATCCTAGCACTTGGGAGGTCAAGGCGGGTGGATCACAAGGTCAGAAGTTTAAGACAAGCCTGGCCAACACGGTGGAACCCCATCTCCACTAAAAATACAAAAAGCTGGGTGTGTTGGAATGTGCCTGTAATTTTGGCTACTCAGGAGGCTGAGGCAGGAGAATTGCCTGAACCCAGGAGGCGGAGGTTGCAATGAGCCAAGATAGCGCCATTGTACTCCAGCCTGGGCGACAGAGCAAGACTCTGTCTCAAAAAAAAACCAAAAAACAAAATTAAAAACAAAAAAAGCTAACTTAAGCTGGGCTCAGTGGCATGTTCCTATAGTTCCAGCTACTTGGGAGGCTGAGGCAGGCGGATAGCTTAATCCCAGGAGTTCAAACCAGTCTGGGTGACATAGTAAAACCTATCTCAAAAAAATAAAAAAATAAAGAAAGCTAAAAAGCAAACTTTAGTATTTCTGACCTGTTTTTCACACCTGTAAAATGAGAGCAATATTTTCTTCTCTCAACCTGTTTGAAAGGAAAGGTTAGCTTTTGTAAAGTTTATGTATAAGAAAATTATCTTAAAGCACAAGGGTTAGTCTATATGTTGGCCATTTCTTTGGTGATAAAAACCTAAGGTTGGGACTCTCAGTGAGCAAAATATAAGTACCATATTAATATGCTTTAGTCAATTTGCTTTGCTTTGTGGTAATATATAGGCCGTATTATTGCATAGATGAGTTTCTCCTTACTGTCATCTTTCATCTGTTGAAAGACAATGGGTAAAAATGGAATTTATCCTTTTAAATTAATTTTTTATTTAATTTGTCAACAGAGTCCTTCAGCCAAACCAAGGACAGAATGCACCTGTTCATAGGCTACTTAGTAGACAAGGGTAAGAATGCCACACACGGGTATTGGAAACTACGGAAACCAAGATTAGATTCAGAGGGAAAAATAAAGCTTAGTGTTCTTTACATAAAGGATAATGGTTTTTCAAATGTGATTTTTTTTTTATAACATTGGGAAAGGTATTTTAAAGTTTTGTCTTCAAATTTAACCCTCCTAGTGTACTGTTGTGTATTCTAATTACTATCTTATGTTGGCATGTTTTTACTTTTCATTTCATATCATTTTACTCATTAAGTATTTTAAATATCCATATAGTAAATTCATCATCACCGAAGTGATTCTCCAACAGAGTATGAGTCATGCTTATAGTCTCCTGCTGAAGCCAGAGTTTAGCTTTCCTTGCTGTGCACATGCATGAGACTCCAGTTCTTTTCAAGCTTATGTGTGCTTTGGACAGTTGATATAATGTGATTGCTTTATTTGAATTTTGAACATTTAGACCTTAATGCCAGTGACTTATTAATTTTTTTATATTCAATTAGAACCCCTAAGACATCAGTGAAGGGGGCTGTGCAAATAGACAGAAGCCTTCACAGAGCAGAGTGCCTAACAGACTGCCTGTTTCAGGTGTGTAGAAAATGAATTTCTGAAGCCCATTCAATAGAAGGAAGTGCACAAGCCGCCCCATAACTCAGGCCACAGAAGTGGAATAGATTGTCTTTCCTTGCCACCATAATTTTGGCATATTCACGGTCATCCAATTAGTGGTCTTTGGTCTTAGCATTTCATGGCAGTCAGGAAGTCTTAGTAAAACTGTTATTCCAGTCTTGATTTCTATAATATGGATAACACCACGTATTTTTAATTCTGAAAAAATTGTGGAATTAACTATGCTTAATTCAGAAAATCTTTTAATTTAATGAATAAAAGATAATGATTATCTCTGGGGCTAAGTCTATGCATTGTCTGTTCAGCTTGGGGAAGTGTATCTGCACATAGGGGGATGAAACCTTTCTCCCTCAAACTATAAGATCACATGTGAATATGCCACATATTTTATGGTCTTCGTATTTTGCTCAATCAGAAGCCTGATCTAAATCTCTCCTTATGTTCATTATTTGAGGATTAAGAGCTAAACTAAAAACTGTTTTAAAATTCTGTTTATGGTGGCAAGAAGACAAACTCATTCTTGAGCTAATTCAAAGCTCTTAACCAAATGCTTTAATATTTTTAAGGTATCTTTGTTAAGACACTTTGATTAAGCTCACTTAAAAATTGTGATCCATTTAAAAATACTTTCCAAATGTTGTGCTTTAACTATACTGCTTTCTAGACATTTACAAGAAACCTAAATTACTCACCGGGCATTGAAGATTAAACGTCTAATCAATTCTAATCTTTCCATTAATATATAATTAGGTAAATTTGAGAGCTTTTATGACGAAGTGATTCCCTTCAAATTAGGGAACAAGCTATTGATCATAACTTTGAAATGATGGCTTACCTTTTGTATGTAGGTAGTGAATGTAATTCAGAGTGTCACACATATATGGTATAATTTAAAAGGTCATCTTTGGAAATCGTTGAGTGACAGTTAATGGAATTGTCATAAAGGATTACATAGCTGAAGATACTGCTTGCTCCAGAGGCAGTCAGAATAAGCTAGTTTGAAAGATAACCATTTGAAAGGACTCAGACCAAACACCAGATCTGTGGAATTTTAAGACATTTTCTGTTTTTCCCATGTTAATATTTTGTATTGCACCGAATCTTAGCAAGTTGGAAAATCATTGAGGAATTAGTATTATTTTGCCTGATATCAGTTTACCACAGTGACTACTCTCCATGTTTTTTTCTCATGCATTTCATCTCCACTATTTGTCACTTGTGAACCTGTAAGCAAAATAGCAAGTACTGTTTTTATTCAGCAATACTCAACAGTATAAAGGATTATAGGCAGTCATTGAAGTTAATAACATACAATGAAGTTTATCATTTTGAACTACTGAGGTTGAATTGCATTGCAACATAATTATTAATACAAATGAACTCAACTCTTGATTGAACATGTACAATCAATAGGTATCTAAACAAATATAAAAATCTGCTGCTGTTTTCTAAAGATTTACTTATATATGAGTGCATATTGAGACAATTGAAAGAGACTAAATAATTGGTTTTTTGTTTTGTTTTGTTTTTTGAGACAGAGTCTTTTTTTTTTTTTTTTTTTTTTTTTGAGACGGAGTTTCACTCATGTTACCCAGGCTGGAGTGCAATGGCGCGATCTCGGCTCACCGCAACCTCCGCCTCCTGGGTTCAGGCAATTCTCCTGCCTCAGCCTCCTGAGTAGCCGGGATTACAGGCACGCACCACCATGCCCAGCTAATTTTTTGTATTTTTAGTAGAGACGGGGTTTCACCATGTTGACCAGGATGGTCTCGATCTCTTGACCTCGTGATCCACCCGCCTCGGCCTCCCAAAGTGCTGGGATTACAGGCTTGAGCCACCGCGCCCGGCCTGAGACAGAGTCTTACTCTTGTCGCCCAGGCTGGAGTGCAGTGGCGTGATCTTGGCTTACTGTAACCTCTGCCTCCTGGGTTCAAGCGATTCTCCTGCCTCAGCCTCCTGAGTAGCTGGGATAACAAGTGCCTGCCACCACACCCAGCTAATTTTTTGTATTTTTAGTAGAGACGGTGTTTCACCATGTTGGCCACACTGGTCTCGAACTCCTGACCTCGTGATCCACCCACCTCAGCCTCCCAAAGTTCTGGGATTATAGGCATGAGGCACCATTCCCAGCCAGAATTGTATTCCTTTATATAAACAGAGAGTTTGGGATACTGGTGGGTTAAAATGCCAACCATGAATCTGAACACAGGAATCCATTGTTGCTCTTGAAAAGATTATTGTTTTCTGCTTAGAGGTTTTTTGTTTTTTTGAGACGGAGTTTCACTCTTATTGCCCAGGCTGGAGTGCAATGGCATGATCTCAGCTTTCTGCAACCTCTGCCTCTCAGGTTCAAGTGATTCTCCTGCCTCAGCCTCCTAAGTAGCTGGGATTACAGACATGTGCCATCACACCTGGCTAATTTTTGTACTTTTAGTAGAGAACGGAGTTCACCATATTGGCCAGGCTGGTCTTGAACTGCTGACCTTGTGATCCACCTGCTTCGGCCTCCCAATGTGCTGGGATTACAGGTGTGAGCCACCGCGCCCAGCCTCCTGTTTAGAGTTTTAATGATCTGAATTCTGTTTTAAACAAATTTGAAATTATGTTTTGATTTGCTCTGAATGGAGGCAAACCCTTTATTAACCAATTTATAGAAAACTCATTTTTGTCATGATAGAATATCGTACTCTTAGACTGAAGTGGAATTCTAAAATGTTAAAGTATGCTGCAAAGCATTTAACTATTTATAGTTTTACAAACCTAAGTTGCCATCTCTGATGTTATCCTAAGTGATCTTTGACTTGCAGTTTTAAAACACAATTCTTCATTTGATGTTTTATGCTTGACCAGAATTTATAGTGAAATTCAGAAACCACTAATCAAAGCAGAGTAGGAGGTGGTCATGGAAAATGGTTAAGTAAAATAACACATCAGGTGGCATTGGCTTATCAGAGTTCTTACTTCTAGCTCCGTTCCTTAGGCGAGTGCTCTCCATTGCCTCAGTTTTATTACCCTTAAAATGGTCATAACAGTTTCTACCTCGGGATGATTCATATAAGGATTAAATATGATAATGTATATTGCTTAGCTCAGCGCTTGTTCCAGAGTAAGCACTCATTAAATTGTATCATTATAGAAAATCTACCATTGAGAAATAATATTAGTTTTGCTCTATTTTTAGGAGTATATGCAGGAAAAATCCAAAGAAAGCAGCCAAATGTTGCGACAATTTAAGAAGACAACATTCATTAGGATAAAACGGGGGAGGATTATTATCCATGTTATTTTCCCTGCCCAAGACTTTATTTAACCCTGGACTCTGTTTACACAGACAAAGTGACGTCAGAAGGCTGAGCACTTATCTGGATCATTTGGTCAGTTTGCTAATTCCTGCTCCACACCCCTGTGTTCCTCTTAATAATAAGTTTGGGTGAAGACAAATTAGTGTTTAGTAATTGCATCACCTCTGTGCTTACCTATACAAACATGTTTGTTTTATGTGCCCAGATGTCTACAGAGACCCTTTTTGTAAACATAAAGGACATTTGGGTTTACTTTTACAGAATATTGAAAGGATATGACAAATTATAAATAAGTTCTAAAACATAAATTTCATTCATCTCTGCATAGTGATTTTTGAATTTGATTCAAGGGGAAATTACTGCAGAAGAATGCCTTTCCCTCATTTTATGACTTTAAAAACTTGGATTAACTGCTCAATGTCCACATTCTTTGACTTACAGTATAACCATATAGCCAATTGTGGTCCACTAAAATGACCCACGGAAATTGCTGTGGGTCACTTTTGGTCAGAAGTATACATTCTTGTCAACAACTAGTTGTCTTACAGAAATGTTAGGCTTCATGTATGTTACCCCACTACTGTTAGAAACATTTGTACTAGATCATAAGATCTTTCTGGCTGGATACCATGGCTCATGCCTGTAATCCCAGCACTTTGGAAGGCCAAGGCGGGTGGATCACCTGTGGTCAGGAGTTTGAGACCAGCCTGACCAACATGGAAAAACCTTGCCTCCCCTAAAAATACAAAATTAGCCAGATGTGGTGGTGCATGTCTGTAATCCCTGCTACTTGGGAGGCTGAGGCAGGAGAATCGCGTGAACCTGGGAGGCAGAGGTTGTGGTGAGTCAAGATCCCACCACTGCACTCCAGCCTGGGCAACAAGAGCAAAACTTTGTCTCAAAAAAAAAAAAAAAAAAAAGATCTTTCTGTGAAGGGTAGCAAATTTGGGGAAGACAGCACAATCTTCTTGAATGTAGCTCTGGGGAATGCATTATTACATCCATTTCTGTAAAATAAGAATAATGTGTTGCATGCAGTTATATTTTCTATTTAGTCTATATATTTTCTTTCTTTGTAGTCTGTTTTTCCTAGCATGCTTGATTTAGGAGAGAATAAAGGGCTATATATAATAAATCCAGATTTCAGGATAAGATTATTGCCTGGTTAAAATTCTGCATTAAAGACACCCATGTTTAAGATTTTTCATCACTAACATATCCATTAAAAGTATCAATTGGCCAGGCAGGGTGGCCCATGCCTGTAATCCCACCACTTTGGGAGGCCGAGGCAGGTGGATCACCTGAGGTCAGAAGTTCGAGACCAGCCTGTCCAACATGGCGAAACTCCATCTCTACTAAAAATACAAAAATTAGTTGGGCGTGGTGGTGCATGCCTGTAGTTCCAGCTACTTGGGAGGCTAAGACTGGAGAATCGCTTGAGCCTAGGAGGCAGAGGTTGCAGTGAGCAGAGACTGTGCCACTACACTCCAGCCTGGGCCACAGAGCGAGACTCCATCTCAAAAAAAAAAAAAGTCTCAACCAACAAATATTACCAAAAAAACATGACTTCGTGAGAGAGAATGTCACTATTAATTTGTCATACCAGTTCCAAAAAGGGCTTTGTGCTTTTCACATAAAATTGGGACAGTGTATATTTAATCTAATGTAAATTTTAAAGAGATACTGGTATTTTGAAAATGCAGCCTATATATATTCTTAATATCATTTTAAGAATATGGAGATGAAGATTGTTTTCTCCAATATTCTGTGCCATTTTAAATTTAACTTTGATATCCAGCTATAGACCAAAATAATAATCCACCCTGGGTGTAAACTTGATTTTCTTTATTGAGATGTATCATGTTTGAATGAGTGAACCAGAAAATTAGAAGATGGTCAAAAAAAGTCCAAGTTACCAATTTTTTTAAATGTATAGGCAAAGTATGTCAAATTATCCTCTTAATATGATAAACTGTGCTTTATCATTCTGAAAACTCAGGATATAGCTTATTCATAGCATTGTGGGTCTCTCCAGTAAGAAAGATGCTAAAAGTTTTGTGTATATTTTTTTGTGTGTAATGCAAATTAGTTAAAACAAATAGTATGTTTTGGAGAAAGTTAAAACTAGCTTTAGATTAAGGATGAGAAACTTGAGTGTGTTTTTAATTTAAAGATAAAAGTGTGTGTTTTACACATTTTTTTTGGTGTTCATAGCTTTTTCTTATACAAGTGCCAGACACTGTTTTGTGCTTTTGATGGATTTTTATTTATATACATTTTTTTGCTTATTTTTACTTCAAGTTGGAATGTTCATTAATGTAAATTGTATTTATTTTTATACTTTTATTTTCACTAGTTTTGCTTCTAGGCAAAAAGCAAAATAAACTTTTCATCCTAAAGAAAATCTAGTTTGATTGTTTTTATTTACCAGGGAAAAGACTATTAATAAATAGATAGGCCACGCATGGTGACTTATGCCTGTAATTCCAGCACTTTAGGAGGCCAAGGTGGGCAGATCACGAGGTCAGGGGTTCAAGACCAGCCTGGCCAACATGGCAAAACCCCATCTCTACTAAATACAAAATTAGCCAGGTGTAGTGGTGCATGCCTGTTAATTCCAACTATTTGGGAGACTGAGGCAAGAGAATCACATGAGCCTGGGAGGCAGAGGCTACAGTGAGGCGAGATCGTACCACTGCACTCCAGCCTGGGTCACACAGTGAGACTTATCTCAAAAGAAAAACAAAATAAAAAAGAAATAGGTATTAGCCAGGCATGGTGGTGCACATCTGTGGTCCCAGGTACTCTGGAGGCTGAGGCAGGAGGATCACTTGAGCCCAGGAGTTCCAGGCCACACCATTGCACTCCAACCAGGGTGACAGAATGAGACTTGTCTCAAAAAAAAAAAAAA